CCCTATGTTAATGCAAAAGAACTAGCTGGCAATATTCACTTAACATTTTTATTCATCAAAATGGCGGCAATATTTATTCAAATTTCAACCTTTATTTATTAATTCCTCCGATAATGGCCCCAAATGCACTGTAGTTAAGCATATAGACCACGAATTATCAATCATTTTGCTTTTTACATCAAGAAAATCGTCCAGCCAGTTTTAAGGAAATGCTCTTTTTTCTATTTTTCATATTACACCCTATGTTTATGCAAAAGAACTAGCTGGCAATATTCACTTAACATTTTTATTCATCAAAATGGCGGCAATATCTATTCAAATTTCAACCTTTATTTATTAATTCCTCCGATAATGGCCCCAAATGCACTGTAGTTTAGCATATAGACCACGAATTATCAATCATTTTGCTTTTTACATCAAGAAAATCGTCCAGCCAGTTTTAAGGAAATGCTCTTTTTTCTATTTTTCATATTACACCCTATGTTAATGCAAAAGAACTAGCTGGCAATATTCACTTAACATTTTTATTCATCAAAATGGCGGCAATATTTCAACATATTTCTACCAAATGGCAGCAAATTTTTTTTTATAACTATGCTTTACAAAAAAAGGTGGCATAGTTCAAATTGGGTGTCCTCATTTAGAATTGAGAAATGGAAATGACAAGCCACCAAAACAAGGCATGGGATGCGTTTGCACGCCTATTAAATATGCCGCAAGTAACTAAAACGAGAAAGAAATGCTATCTTCGGCACACCGAAGATTTAATACCCTTGCAGACCCAACCTTTTCAAAATGCTCATAGTGCTTTGCCCGTATTTAAGAAGCACAGGGAAAATACTTAATGCCGAGTATGGATAAGATATCTTGAAAAACAAAACAGGTTTCCATACAACAACTTAATTTTCGACCGATCGTTCCTATGGCAGCTATATGATATAGTAGCCCGATGGAATAAGATTTTGCATAAGTGGAGGGAGCATAGTAAAACTAATAAATGCCGAGTTTGGTCAAGATGTCTTGAAAAACAAAAAAAATTCCATACAACAGCATAATTTTCGACCGATCGTTCCTATGGCAGCTATATGATATAGTTGTCCGATCTTAATAGGATTTTGCATACATATGGGAAGCGTAGTAAAACTAATAAATACCGAGTTTGGTCAAGATATCTTGAAAACATAAAAATTTTTCCATACAAAAACTTAATTTTCGACCGATCGTTCTTATGGCAGCTATATGATATAGTTGCCCGATCTTAATAGAATTTTGCATATATATGGGGAACGTAGTAAAACTAATAAATACCAAGTTTAGTCAAGATAACTTTATAAACAAAAATGTTTTTCATACAAGAGCCTACTTTTCGACCGATCGTTCCTATGGCAGCTATATGATATAGTTGTCCGATCTTAATAGGATTTTGCATATATATGGGAAGCGTAGTAAAACTAATAAATACCGAGTTTGGTCAAGATATCTTGAAACACATAAAAATTTTCCATACAAAAACTTAATTTTCGACCGATCTTTCCTATGGCAGCTATATGATATAGTTGTCCGATCTTAATAGGATTTGGCATACATATGGGAAGCGTAGTAAAACTAATAAATACCGAGTTTGGTCAAGATATCTTGAAAACATAAAAATTTTCCATACAAAAACTTAATTTTCGACCAATCGTTCCTATGGCAGCTATATGATATAGTTGCCCGATCTTTATAGAATTTTGCATATATATGGGGAACGTAGTAAAACTAATAAATACCAAGTTAAGTAAAGATAACTTTATAAACAAAAATGTTTTTCATACAAGAGCCTACTTTTCGACCGATCGTTCCTATAGCAGCTATATGATATAGTTGTCCGATCTTAATAGGATTTTGCATATATATGGGAAGCGTAGTAAAACTAATAAATACCGAGTTTGGTCAAGATATCTTGAAAACATAAAAATTTTCCATACAAAAACTTAATTTTCGACCAATCGTTCCTATGGCAGCTATATGATATAGTTGCCCGATCTTAATAGAATTTTGCATATATATGGGGAGCTTAGTAAAACTAATAAGTACCGAGTTTGGTCAAGATATCTTGAAAAACATAAAAAATTTCCATACAAAAACTTAATTTTCGACCGATCGTTCCTATGGCAGCTATATGAAATAGTTGTCCGATCTTAATAGGATTTTGCATATATATGGGGAGCGTAGTAAAACTAATAAATACCAAGTTTAGTCAAGATAACTTCATAAACAAAAATGTTTTTCATACAAGAACCTACTTTTCGACCGATCGTTCCTATGGCAGCTATATGATATAGTGGTCCGATACAGCTGGTTTTCACATATAAGCTGCGTGCAACAACAAGAGGGAATTCTGCAAAGTTTCATAAAGATAGCTTTAAAACTGAGAGACTAGTTCGCATAGAAACAGACAGACGGACAGACAGACATGGCTATATCAACTCGGCTGTTGATACTGATCAAGAATATATATACTTTATGGGGTCGGAGATGTCTCCTTCTATGCGTTACACATTTCACGACAAAATTATAATACCCTCTGCAAGGGTATAAAAATAAGAGGACTCGGCTTATTTTGCCTCGCCAACCCAAAACTAAAAGTTATGCTGCGTTAAAAAATAGGAGCGACCAGCAGCAAAGCCTTAAAAGGGCTCAACAAACAAAAATAAAAACGAGAAAGAAGTGCTATCTTCGGCACACCGAAGATTTAATACCCTTGCAGACCCAACCTTTTCAAAATGCATAATACAACAGCATAATTTTCGACCGATCGTTCCTATGGCAGCTATATGATATAGTTGCCCGATCTTAATAGAATTTTGCATATATATGGGGAGCTTAGTAAAACTAATAAGTACCGAGTTTGGTCAAGATATCTTGAAAAACATAAAAATTTTCCATATAAAAACTTAATTTTCGACCGATCGTTCCTATGGCAGCTATATGATATAGTAGCCCGATGTGAATAAGATTTTGCATAAGTGGAGGGAGCATAGTAAAACTAATAAATGCCGAGCTTGGTCAAGATATCTCGAAAAACAAAAAAAATTCCATACAACAGCATAATTTTCGACCGATCGTTCCTATGGCAGCTATATGATATAGTTGTCCGATCTTAATAGGATTTTGCATATATATGGGAGCGTAGTAAAACTAATAAATACCGAGTTTGGTCAAGATATCTTGAAAAACATAAAAATTTTCCATACAAAAACTTAATTTTCGACCGATCGTTCCTATGGCAGCTATATGATATAGTAGCCCGATGTGAATAAGATTTTGCATACGTGGAGGGAGCATAGTAAAACTAATAAATGCCGAGCTTGGTCAAGATATCTTGAAAAACAAAAATATTCCATACAACAGCATAATTTTCGACCGATCGTTCCTATGGCAGCTATATGATATAGTTGTCCGATCTTAATAGGATTTTGCATATATATGGGGAACGTAGTAAAACAAATAAATACCAAGTTTAGTAAAGATAACTTTATAAACAAAAATGTTTTTCATACAAGAGCCTACTTTTCGACCGATCGTTCCTATGGCAGCTATATGATATAGTGGTCCGATCCAGCTGGTTTTGACATATGAACTGCTTGCAACAGAAAGAGGGACTTCTGCAAAGTTTTATAAAGATAGCTTTAAAACTGAGAGACTAGTTCGCATAGAAACAGACAGACGGACAGACGGACATGGCTATATCAACTCGGCTGTTGATACTGATCAAGAATATATATACTTTATGGGGTCGGAGATGTCTCCTTCTATGCGTTACACATTTCACGACAAAATTACAATACCCTCTGCAAGGGTATAAAAATGAACGCACAGCTTCAGCGACTTACGGCTGAGGTCGCAGGTCTAAAGGCGCCGCAGATGACACAGGCTCCACAGCCACAGAAGCCACAGCGGATGTCAAAGCCGCAGCAACTATGGGTGCAGCCATGGATGCAGTACGTGGCATACGAGTAGTATATGGCCCAATAAAAAATTATGTGTATATATCTGTATTTATAATGATAAATAAAATAAAAATTACTTAGAAAATCCTTTTTTATTGAAATTTATTAGAAATTCTCGTAAGCTGGGGAAAAAGATTAAAGTGCATGGAAAAAATTAAAATAAAAGTTAGAACAATCTATCATGGCAATTGCGCAGTATTTCATTTGAACTGTGTTTTTGTATACATATGTATGTATGTACATAAAGCGCCATACAAAATTGGCGTCATAATTAAAAGTGCCGCTATGTTATATATATATATACTATATATAAATATACTTTTTATTATACTAAGATAAGAAAAAACTTCAAATGGCTCCAGGAATCGCAAAATGGTAAGATTTTATGTTTCAATTAATTGTGTTAAGAAAAGGATTATAATAGTGTTGCACAAATATATGTAATAGTCTTACTCCACTGGGCTTAAAAATGTCACATTTTCAAGTTTCACATATTGGTGCTCCACCGGTTTTCGGTAACATGTGATTGGCAAAAGTACCGCCAACTTTAAATGTTATAAGCTGTGGGAATATTAAAATTTAAAATAATATTTTAAAGTTATTGCTTGCCTTCGTTGCAATATCAGCTGTTTATGGTAATGAACACATTCACATTTTTCACAACATCGATAGAAAACTCGATAAATCATCGCAAAAAACACGAACTGTTCGGGGCGAATTTACACATTTTTCAAAAATGTGAAATGTGTTTTCCTATGGGAAAACGTACAGGCCGAATTTTACACATTTTGCAAAAATATGACATTTTCAAGAAATTTGTTCAGTGGACAGAGGCTATAACAAGAAAAGTGGAATAAAGTGGCATTCATATATTTTATGCAATTTATATATTAGTTAATCGGATTATAAACACAAATTCGTATCAATGTTGCATTTGACGTTATCGGCAGCATCGATAGTTTGCCTAGTTGGGTGCGTTCTTTATTATCGGCCACGCCGATATCAGGGTATCGGGGGTGAAGCTGGGCCCACAGCGGCGCCCAATTTATTGAAGATTGGAAATGCCGGGCTTGTGATCCACGGCGCCAAAAGGGGCGATTGCTATTGGCCGCCCGATTCGCCCTTAAAGAGATTTTAGGGAGAGCGGATCGCATGCCCTTTGATATGCCCTTGGCCTTCATTTGGGCCGTTGACCCAAAAAATGCAGCCGTGCAGATGGACAGCAACGGTGTCCGCCTAGTAAATGTTTGCGTGTGCCGAAATTCGGCACCGATGTTGCTGCCCAAATGTACAGCAGGGAGTTCGATATGATCAGCAGTCAACGGCGGGCGTGCTCAAAGCGAGCTTAAAGTTATTTTTTTTTTACATGTCGGCCCCATAAAAAAAAATTTTCTAGAAAAGTTTTCTGCAATTTAAAATTAAACAATTAAATTTTGTTTGCCGTTTAATAATCCGAATTTAAACATTGTGTCACATTATAGAAAAATTAGAAAACACTAAAAACTTACGTGCGACGCGAGACGTACAAATAAAAATCATAAGACAATTAACAAAATAAACGGCTCCGCCACCGAAGGGACCAGTTTTCGACGCAGCGGCGCACCTCAGCCATACCCACGGCGCACGAGTCACCGACCGTATCCCGAAGGACAGGCTAAGAAGTGGCCATAAGCAACACCACGCCCACATCATCAGAGTCAGACGTAGACTTGTGCTCGAGACCCCGACGGAGAAAAGATTTTTTTTGCCAATAGAATTAGTTCTTTTGTATGAATATATAATATACTTACGCCTAGTTTCACGTAAGAAAATTTTCGAAAGTGCGAACAGTGAAGGAAAGGCCCCAAAGATTATTGCGTCTGCCAAACAAATAAAAAAACAAAATAATTAGATTTTTGATAAATTTTGCACGAGCGATACCCGCTTATATATATGTATATACATATATGCATATGTCATACACCATATGTGCAGAATAACCATTGTGATGGACCTTACCGCCCCCACCCAGAGAGCTCTTTAGGCAGGCAAGGTATTATAAGCGCTCTTGACAAACATATAACTTCCTTTTTTTTGTAACACATATATATATATACACGCATTTCAGTATTTTAGCGGGTACTTGCTCCCCATTGGTGAATTAATTACCTGGTGTTATATCTTTCCCCTGGTTATTTTTTTCTTTTCTTGACTGGCAATAACTTTGCAGTGTTTCGTCGCCTGTTTCATTTAATGTTGTTAAATAAAAATGTATTCTGTAAGATATTTGAAATTTTAGAAATTAAATCACAATTGTGATAATTATAAGGCAAAGCAAAGCAATAACACGCACCTGTTGAAGAATTGAAGACAATGTCAGCTTGCATAGAATAAATTGCAGAATGGGGATACCCTGTAAAAATAGGAGATAAGAGATGTTAAAATTGTTAATAATTATAAGAAACGCAGCCAACTATACGCACCTACTGTAGAGAGAAATGTCCAGCTAAATCTCAATTGAGGGGAAAAGGGGACATGTCAGCCAATACGGGCTGATGCAGGCCATCTAGTGGCCAAAATGTGGGAGACAAGATCAGCGGATCGTCTCAGGTAGGGCAGGTACGCGGGGTCCGGAACCGGAACCCGATCTGGAAGAGTAAAGTGGTTAAAAAGTGTTTTTTTTTGTTAATTTATATCGAGCGCCTCACCTTTTTTGCTTACATTTTCTTGTTGTTACAGCTGTTAGTGTTGTTCATTTGTTAGAAGTTCCGATTGTTTGTTGTTATCGATTATGTAGTTCATTTTGAAGAGTGTTGTATAGGTAGGTTTTGCTACAGACGTTGAAGTTTTGTTAATATCGATTGTGCGGACTGCGGGCCAGGGATGGGACTACACCCAGAGAAACCGATGAGCCAGCCGGCGCAGCCCACTGAGAAACAAGCAGTTCCGTAACATCAAGAATGCATTTTCCATACATAGTGTGAAAGAAAAGCACGGCCGTTGCATGAGGTGCGCAGCTTACGGCGTGTGAATTTGTTATCCACTTGCAGAGGGTATTATAATTTTGTCCCAAAATGTGTAACCACTAACCAAAAAACATATAGATGGGACATGACGTACTAGAAATTAGGGCACCAAAAAAAATTTGCATCTGGTCCAACGAGCGAGTAAGATATACATATGATATATTTTGATCGCTCACACTACAGGAAACTCCTTTGGCTTACTCTCTTCCATATGATTTGTGCGATAGAACGGCATCGCTGTTTTTTATCTCGCTCCCACTACAGGAAACTGCTTTGGCTTACTCTCTTCCATATCATTTGTGCGATAGAACGGCATCGCTGTTTATTTTTATCTCGCTCGCACTTACTGTCAGTGCTCTCAATGCTCTCTTTATGTCTAGGTACCGTTTAAATGTTTGTGTGTGTATGTGTCCGCACAAGTAAAAATGCCCACAAATTCAATTTTTCTCAAAAGTCGGTGGCATTTCTTCCCTTTTGAGGGGACGAGTAATATGAAATAATGAAAGGGTTTGCCAAGTCGATGCGAAATTCTTTAATTTTAGCTCGTTCTTGTTCGAAAGGGTACCTAAGCGTTGGCATGTGTGCATTTAAAAGTTTTTGGACTTGCTATTCACGCATACTTGCATATTTTCTATATGAATAGGAAGTGCGAGCGAGATAAAAATAAACAGCGATACCGTTCTATCGCACAAACCATATGGAAGAGAGTAAGCCAAAGCACTTTCCTGTAGTGTAAGTGAATAAAAGATATCAATGTATATCTTACACTTTTTTTTGGACCAGATATCCCGATTTATTAGTGCCCACATTTCTAGTACTGCATGTCCCATCTATATGTTCTTTGGTTAGTACTTAAACGCCGCAAAGTTTTGCTTCCAAAAGGTAAATAATACGACCTCGAAGTAGGGGCTCCATTTCAGGGACTCTTTGTGGGATTTGGCCATCTTTAAATGTTTAAAACTGTGGGATTATTAAAATTTCAAATTATAATTTAAATTTACTGGTCGCCTTCTTTGCTACATCAGCTGTTTATGGTAATGCAACTTTTGAATTTTTCATAACATCGATACGAAATTCGATAAATCATCGCAAAAAACACGAATTGTTCGGGGCGAATACACACATTTTTTTTAAATTCAAAATATGTGTTTTCTTTTGGGAAAACGTACGGGCCACATTTTTCAAAAATGTAACATTTTCTAAAAATGTGTGTATTCTATTAATTTATTATTAATTAATTAATTTAAACAAGTAAATATCACACATCCGTAAAATTATGTATATATTATTTGTTTTGTTTTATTTTTATATTTTTGTTGAATGGAATTAATTATCAGATTTATTATAACGCAATTATCAATACACAATTAAACAATTTCAATAAAAGCCAAGCCTGTGAGGCGGCTACTGGAGTCAGCCACCCCACAGCTTTGATCCACGGCAAGGAGCCGTTACTTTTATGGCCGAGATCGCGGCAAGGAGCCGTTGGCACTATTATTTTTATAGCCTTTAAGTTCATTAGCTTTTATTATATAAGAATAAGTTCATATTTGAGCAAGAGGCAAGGAGCCACTAATATTATAATTAAGCGCTATTAATTAAAGGGCAAGGAGCCGTTAAGTTTATCGTTAATGTCGTGCGCATTGTATTAGTTATAAGTATAGTTAAAGCTAGGAGCCCCTCACAGCTTTAATTTGAATTTAACCGCCGGCCGCCGCAGCAACCGTGCCTTGTCGATTGGTTGCTCAACACCGTCTTCGAGAGCGCAACTTCAATTCGGCGGCGAAGAGCGAAAGCTCCGAGATGAAGTTGCGAAAGCTCGCGGTGAAGTTGAGCGGCCGAGGCAAGCGCATGGCTCGCTTGCGAGCGTTCCGGCACTTTTGGTGCAACTATCTGGTTGAGTAGACGTGCATCGCAGGTGCATAGCGAGTGAAAAGGGAGAGTGTATAGCGGAGCGCTAGGGCTCCAAACAGTGCGACAAGGCCCTAAGTTAGGTTACAGAGTAGGATAGCGTTTGATTAATAAGGAACATAGAAGTGAATAAAGATGAAGTTAAAAAAAAAAGTCTGCTAGTTTTGATTTCATCTCCGGTTAGCCTTATTCTCTAACATCGGGGTCTACCGATGTTCAATATAACCTTCTTCCCCTAACCCGAAGTGCAGTGAATGTGGTGCGAGGCTGTTGCCCAGTAGTGAACGTGATATGAGGCTGCTGCCCAGTATAGTGTGTTGCGAGGCGATTGCCCAAAGTGATAGCGGTACGAGGCTATGGCCCGAGAGTAGGTATTTCGAGTTGTGTGAGCGGTGCGAGGCCACGGCCCGAGAGCAGTTATTTTGAGTTTGCTGACTGGTAGTATGTGCAATACGAGGCCACGGCCCGAGATCAGGAGTTTCGAGTTTGCTGTCTGGTGGTATATGTGGTTCGAGGGCGCGTACTTCAAGCCCTACCCTGTAGAAGTAGTGATAGAGACCGTATGGTTGAAGCACTTACTTTCCCCCTCCCCTAAACTCGCCGTCTCAGCAGATTAATAAATGTCTTGTAACTTGCTGGTCCTGGTAAGACAGAGTTGTACCCCGGCCAGTAGCTTCTTTACAAGTGGCGCCCAAGCAGGGCGTGGCATGTTGGCGGATTAAAGCCCCGCAAGCGTGCCCAAATAAGTGTTTTCAAAAAAAAAAACAGTCGAGCATACCCTAGCGAATATTTTTCATACCCTGTGTTAGGCAAAAACAAACAAAATTAACACCTGCAAGATCTAGGCGACAAAAATGTGTGCAAAAGCGAGCACACAAAGCATAGAGCCGAAAATACAACGGCCGGTCATAAAAGTACAGCGCGCGCGCTCCAGACGGGCGACGTCGAGACCACGCCGACGTCGGCGTCGAAGAGAATTCCACTTTTCACCGCACGTTAGTTGCTCCGACCCCCCTTGGGTTCCTAGAGGAGCGCGCACATATGGTATTGCCCTTGATCGCTTGCCTCGAGCAATGAGTGAGGTTTTCAGCGACAGGGCTGCTCGTTGGTTCTTGAGCAGTGGGCTAAGGGATGTGCCGTGGTCAGTGTGTAGGAGGGGTTTCCTAGAGTTCTTCCTACCTCCACGCTACTTCGAAAGGCTTGAGGACGAAATCCGGTCCCGCAGGCAGCGCGTGGGCGAAGAATTCAAGGAATACTTGATAGAGCTGAGCGGTACTCTGCGCGGATTTCGTCGGACCCCTTCCACGGTCGAGACATGGCAACACGATGCTACTGGTGTTCCATGAGGCTTTCTCGAAGTGGGTGGAACTGGTCCCTCTCAGGAGAGCCACGGCGGCGCATCTGCAGACAGCGTTTCGAGAGAGGATTTTGAGTTGGTTCGGGGTGCCCAAGAAGTTCGTGTGCGACAACGGTGTACAATTTACAAGCCATAGCTTCACGGCTTTTCTGGAGTCGCTGGGTGTAGAGGTCCAGTATACCGCCCCGTACTGTCCACAAGAGAATCCTACCGAAAGGACCAATAGGACCGTGAAGACCATGATAGCGCAATTTATCGAAGGCCATCAGAGTTCGTGGGACGAGCTCTTGCCGGAGATATCGCTAGCGGTCAACACAAGTGTGGCGGACTCGACGGGATTCAGTCCCGCTTTCCTGATGCAGGGGAGGGAGCCGCGGCTGCCCGCAGCCTTGTACGATCAGGTGACTCCGGGGTCCGCAACTAGTGCGCTCGACCCTAGGACGAAAGCGGATAGGTTCAAAGAAATCTTTGCTATCGTCCACAGTAATCTCCAGCGTGCATCAACTGGAGTCTACTGGAGGCTACTGGAGTCAGCCACCCTACAGCTTTGATCCACGGCAAGGAGCCGTTACTTTTATGGCCAAGATCGCGACAAGGAGCCGTGGGCACTATTATTTTTATAGCCTTTTAGTTCATAAGCTTTCATTATATTAGAATAAGATCCTAGTTGAGTAAGAGGCAAGGAGCCACTAATATTATAATTAAGCGTTATTAATTAAAGGGCAAGGAGCCGTTAAGTTTATCGTTCATGTCATGCGCATTGTATTAGTTATAAGTATAGTTAAGGGCAAGGAGCCCCTCATAGCTTAAATTTGAATTTAGCCGCCGGCCGCCGCAACAGCCGTGCGTTGTCGATTTTATTTATTTATTTTATTTATTGGTGGTCGACA